ATCCCCGCGTCAAGAGAGTATTTTTAAGTGTGTCCGCAAATGTATGTGGTGATATGGATGTCTTTTTAAGACTGAGTCGACAGGCCAAAAAAATATTGAGTAGTTTGAAAGTCAAAAGTTTCTCAGAGCTTGATTTAACAGGGCTTTCTGCAGAATATATTTATACATCATCTCCAGAGAACAATACGCTCCTTGTGCCTGCTTAATAATATACTAGGAGATGAGACATTTGGAACAAACTGAGCTTTCTCTTAATCCTTCGGCATTAACTCTGTTCCTTTATCTTGCATGTGCATTTAGTTTTGCAACCTGGGTGTCTGGGTTTTTCCTGGGTGTCTCAGGTTATTTGTTTGCACATTTTGAGGCGTAAGCACTGTGTCTACGGAACGCTTTATCTTCGCTTTAACAGCACAGAGATGATTGCGAGGGCCCGAGGTCAACACCCTTGTGTGTCCGAGGAGGACATTCATTTGCCGGAAGGTCCATTAAAAGACCAAAGGCTAACTGTAAGGTGGGAATTAACAGAAATACTATGATTTATAAGCCCCCAGACCTTTAAAGACAGCCATAAATATACATTAGTTTCAAGAGGTGAATTGGAGGGTAATGCAAGTTAACGCCACTCAAGTTCTGTAGTCCCAGAGTGCTGCACTGTTCTAGTTTAAAGGTTTTTTTTTCTTTTGAACCTTATCATTTCTTCTGAGTATGAGCTACAATTGAGCCACAACCTGCACATGCAAGGTGGTGCAAAACACAGAGGTAAACAGAGCGAAGGGTTATAGTTAGAGGCCATATTATGCTTATTAAGCTTCCTGTTTCCTGTAGTGTGCTATATGTTATTGGTCTGCAAAGGCTAAAATCCCAAAGTTCCCTCCAGAGGGAGTGTCTTTCCCACACACTCTCACCCTGCCTGAAACGGCCCCAATTGGAGTCCTTTGTCTTAGTCTGACTAATCACAACAGAGTCGGCCAGCTAACCAATCAGAGCAGACTGGGCTCTGGTTTCAGACAGAGGGTGAAAAGAGGTGCTGCCGCACAGGCAGTATGAGAAGGATAAAGCATTTTTGGAAAATTAAAGCACAGACATAATACAAATATGAAACCTGAAAATAAGCATAATACTATACTATATACCACTTGAAAATGGGATGGCATGACGTAATCATTCATAGTTAGTGTACAGATGGTGTCTGCACACCCCCAGTTTAGAAAACTAAAGGTGTACACCTCATACAACCCCACTTCAACAACCCCAAATATCACTACAAATAAGAATTGAATATATAGAAAATAGAAGTAATTAATAACATATTTTTTCTTTACTTGCTTGTATAGCAATTTGAGCACCAGGAAAAGCGCTATATAAATAACATGTGTTATTATTATTATACATTTCCGGCCCTTATATGCAGCTATTTAAAAACAGACCAGACTGTAGTCTCCATTGATCCCACAGGAAAACAAGATTGTTCTGTTAATCCTCTGTTGACTTAATTAATTCAATCCAAGTTTAAGCATACATGAACCTTCTCTGCATCTATTCATATTCATTATTTTACCCTCCAAAAAAGTCTCCAGCGTCACATGACCCTGCATAGTTAGATAAGAGGGTACTCTAACCCTATCAAAAATCCATATGATGGAAAACATAAAAGATCATGTTTAATTGGAGTTTTTTTGTAATTTCAAGTACTTAAATGTATCTCCCTCCCAGCCCACCTCTATGTAACCCTACTCTCGTGCCCAATATGGGTCTCCCCCCCTGTCTTTTCTGGCCATTGCTGTTTCCATCTGCGATAGCCCGGGTCTCCCCTCTCCTTCCTTATGGTTCCTGCAGTATTGCTGATTCTCATGCCTGCTGTCTCTCTCTGTGAAATCTGTGACTCCCCCCCGCCCCCCGTCTGTTTGGCCCTTGCTGTCCCTTGTCTGTGAGACTTGTGTCTCCTCTGGCTCTTTGGCCACGGCACAGTCTTTGTTGCCCGTCTCGCTCCCTGTGAGGCCTGAATTAGCAACACGATTAGATCCACACCATGCACACAACAGTAGGCCTTAGACAGTGTGTTGACAGTGCTCTCGTAAATAATAGATGGTATTTACATGTGGACCGGATGACATTGGCAGTTAGAACTTTTAATATTATAATAGCGGATTGAGTCAAGGTTAGTTTTGCGTTTATATTCAATATCTGTTCTGGTACTAAATTATATTAGAAAGGTCTTTATTTGGACCAAATCGACCCTTTTAACTTTTATTCCAATTTCCTTAATTACTTATTTCCTTTTGGCTTTAGAACATGAAAAATAACAACTAACACAAATATATGTATACACTTAAATCGATCTATTTCCCATAAATAAAAGTAATTGTTTATTTAATTCAAGTTGTATTAAAGGTCCCCTATTATACTGTTTTCCATTTCTTTATTATAGGTCTCAGATATATACAAAACCTGTCTCTGAAGTGTTTGGCTCCAAACACCAAACAGATCATTGCAGCATTACCCACAATCCCCTCTGTTTCAGCCCTGTTTCCAAAGTGCTGATTCTCTGTCTGTTACTTTAGATGAAAATAAGGAGCCCCTCCCCACGCCCCTCTGAGAGAGATTTGGTTACAAAGAACTCAATGGTGCTCTAGGAGGAGATTCAGGTGATAAAGGGGGGGGGGGGGGGGGGGGTTACCTTGGTTGGTGATTGGCTAATGGTTACACAAGCCAAAACATCGTTATGACATCACAAAGTGGGCAAAATCTGATCAGCTCATTTTCAGACAGGTTTTTATAGAAATGGATCAGGACAAAAAGTGAGAGAATCTTTGTTCCTGAAACTTTCAGAATCTCTTTACACAGAGGGGAAACATGTTGATGTAGAAGAGACATGAAAAAGTGGATTTTGCATAATAGGTGACCTTTAAAACTACATTTACGAAATAATGATGACAATGTTCATCACAGTTTCCATAGTGATTGTAACACAATATAATTACAAAAGTAGAAAAACAAGTAGATGCGTTTACTTGTTTGCTGTTTTGTTGAAACGTGAACCCTTCCTGAAATAAGGTGTACTTTCTCTGATAGAGACAGTAGGTAACGCTGCATTTGCATGTGTTTTACACCCTCATTTTGATTTAAGTTTTAGCATCTGTTTAAGAGAACGTCAACTGTGTTAACTAAAGATGCAGAAACATTTTTTTCTGAAACCCATACTGAGCATGACAAATGATGTATCTGCAGGTATGTATGTGGCTTGAGAAACACGGTGTAGCCGCAAAAAAAGGGGCCCTATTAATCTTTTGGGGGATCATTTCTAGTGACACATTCTCTATACTCGGCTCCTTCCCTTCATGTAATCCGTAATCTGGTTGCTATTCTAAAATCAGGTCTTAATATACACAGAGAAGAATGTGGAAGGGATTTTACTATACTTTATTTACTTAAAGCTGCAAGTTAAGGTGAAGCTGCGAAATATTATATATAATGTCCTATGGTAAAAAAGTGAACCTAATAAAACTCCTGTCAAATTAAAAACATCAAAATGACGCTATATATCATTGCCAGAGATCTGTTTTATTTTTTTAATGATTAATGACAGTATATATGGAATACAAATAGATTGTTTTCGCTTTCCCCCATTTGAAGCCATAACTGTGTGATTTCCTTCGAGGGAAAAAAGGCAACAATGGGTGAAATACAAATGCACTGAAATGAGTTCGTAGGGTTCAGATATCTTGTTACTTCATTGGGATGGCTGGATTGATTTATGCTGATTATTAAAAGTGATACACACTCTACTTATCTTTCTCTGTAGTATAATATCTATTGATATGTATACGCTCGCATTACATTGTTTGTGTGTGCGCCCGTCTGCTTTTAGTTATAGAGGTACAGAGGCATTATCAGTGGAATGGATCAGTCGGATAGATTGGTGTAAATGGACCCTTTGATCTGAAGGCCCCTCAGCCCTCGGGGGATAACAGATTAAAGATTGTCTAGTTTCTGGAGTTCTCTCGTTCCCTTTTCAGTCTCACTGATGTATCGCTTTCTTCCTCGGACCCTAAACTGCTCGTCTGGGCTTTGATGCTATATCCCGACGTGCTTTCCCACATGGCTTTGCTGGAAGACCGGGAATTAACTGGAAAACCGAGAAATAACTACAAATTCCGGTCTGCGAAGGAGTAAAAAATGGCTGCAGAGTCCCTTTACTAAGATGGCTGTTTATATCTATTGGTGCTTTCTCTTCCCTTTTATAATCTTTCTGGTATTCTCTTGTCTCTTTATTCTCTCTAAAATCAACTCATTTACATAACTGGTACCTCTTTTGTTCCAATTGCAGGACTGTGTGGGTTTTTCTATGATATGATTAAAGATGTAAATTACATTTTTTTGTGTTGTCTTCGTTTTGTCGTCGGCATTAGCTCCGTGGCAATTACACACGTTGTCGGTGTGTATAGAGATGATTGCTGTAAGAGTGTGATTAAGCAATTAGTAAATATTGTGTTGCTTATCTGAGGCACTTTTCTTGCGAGAATTTGCGGTTTTTATTTTTTCTGTGTTTGAGGATGATGGGATATGGATTCACATTTTGATCTCTTGGTGTTTGCGAAATCAATGGTGAGTCGGAGGATGTTGATGTTGAGAGTGGGGTGGTTGAAATGTTTTCACATCATTTTGATTGCACATTTCATTGGGAATGAATGAGGTGAGGAGGAAAACAAACAATTCGCTTCATCAATGTTGGCCTTGTCTCTTTGATGAATAGCTTTTGCTGCACTTATTCTGCTCGCGACATTGGCAAATGATTACTAACTTGTGTTCTCTCTTCTGGTTTCTTTCATTCATCTCCTCCATCTCGCCTTTTCCACTCCAAATATCCTCTTCTCCCTCTCTTCCCTCTCTTCCCTCTTACTTATCATCCCTTACATCTCTGTGATCTCACATTTCCACCTCTCCCGACGCCCAACCCTCTCACATTTTTCCATCTACCCTGATCTGTGACCTCACTGCAGGCACTGACCTGTTCTCCAACTGCACGGAGGAGTGCAAGGCCCTGGGTCACTCAGACCGCTGCTGGATGCCCTCCTTTGTGCCGTCCGACGGGCGCCAGGGGCCGGACTACCGCAGCAACCTGCACGTCCCCGGCATGGACGCCACGTTGCCCGACACTGAGGTACCCTCCTCCGCCAACCTGCCCGATCAACTCACCATGACCTCGTCCACCGCCTCGTCCAACGATAGGTCATTCTCCACCTTTGGCAAGGACGGTCAAAGGTCACAGTCACACCAAAGCCTTCACCATCACCTCCATCAGCAACAGCCGCAGTACAGCTCCAGCACGCTAGAGAGGAAAGAGTATGATAGGGGGACCCTACCATACAAACCCACCTTTCTCTGTGAGTATCAGTATGAAAATTCCCTGGGACCCTATGACTTTGATCTGGTCCAGAACAGATACTAAATCAGGGGACCATGAATCTGCCTTTTTGATTCTGATCAGGACTTTTTTATGTTGCTTATCTATCTATATATTTTTTCTTTTTCAAACACAGCTTTATGTTTTGTTGTAACGCTTTTTATTTTGTAATTTATGATTTTTTTTGTTGAATGTAAAATGTAATATATTATTGCTAACTCCCTATCCTCCAAAACCCACTTTGATAAATTCAATTTAACGCCATCCTAACCCTAATTTCTGTGAACATGTCATTTATAATAAAATAATTTAATACAGACTCATGATAAACTGTTGTGGCCCCTTTTCTTTCTTTTTTACCTTTCTTTAAATTCCCCCTGAAATCCTCCCCAATAAGCCTTTTTTTATCTGATGCTCATACAAGAAAAGGTTAGCAACACAAGCACACATCACACACAATTAAAATGCCAAGTACTGTTTAAAACATCATGTGAGATTATGGAGAGGAAATGAAAGGTAGGTCATCTCATTGTAAAGGACATATCTTTCCATTTGCTCAACAACAAGCTCGATCAAGATGACTTCCCTACTGAATAGCTTTGAAAGGTGAAACACACAACCCACACTACTTCTTTTTCACAAGGATTGAAGTCCATTTGTTCTAAAAAGGAAGTGTCAAGTATCTATACTTGCTTGCTAGTGAATCAATACCTGACATAAATAATGGTGGGTGAGGTTGGGCTGACTGAGGTCAGCATTCTTCAGTTGCTAATATCACAAACACAAGTTTGTGTGCAAGAAAGAAGAAAAACTATAACAATATGAGGAAGGCGTCATTTGGATAATAAGAGGTATTGATATCCATTGGAATAAATTGAGATGGCATTCTAAAGATGCAGACAGGGAATCATTGGCAGGACATTTCTTGTAGATGTCAATTGCTTTCCAAGCTCCCACATTACATGAATATTATATTAGCTCTAAGAGTAGGGAATGGATTCGATATACACATTCAGTAGAGAAGTCATTTCCAGTCAAGTCACCACCATGTTAACCACCATCCTCCATGATACTGCATGCTGGCTGTGGGCTGTCTCTCAGGTAAACGATAAGCTCTATAACCTGCTTTCCTCCCCACTCCTTGTTTGCGTCTTAGCAAACAGACCCAAGTAATCTTCCTCTCGCACATCAGGTCTCTGAGAAACATAATTTGTATTTAGCCTTTAGGTGCTAGAGCGTGCTATGCTCCAAATATAGCTGCCTGTGCGTCTGCTCATCTCGTCTGCCTCGAAGGGGTTAGGATAAATGCACTCCATACTCGCTCTGTCCAAAAAACACAACTCTAATCGTCTAATATTTTACTCATTTGATTTCATCCATCTTTCCTGGTCTTTTTTAAATAAATTGACCACCCGTTGAAACTGGAAAAGTTCTGTTGTTCATCAGAGTGTGAAAAAGATGGGAATAGTCCCAGAGGCTGCAGCTCTATTAACCAATTGGCATCATGTTCTACTTTAAAAATAGCACCGCATGCTACTGGCTTTGGCGTTGCTCTGATCACCAGGGTTGCCTTGATAAAGGCTTTATGAATGTTTAATGAGCCATTTATAGATAATTAATGAAGCAATTAGTGCTCTGTTTATTTTCTAGCATGTATTATGTAGCCACCACATTTCAAACGTTTATCTTTACTGATGGACATGTTTTTTACCCAATTCCCAAATTAGTTTGCCATTAAAACTGTGAGGACCAGCCTTTAGGGTATATAAATAACTTCACAGAGAGTCCTTTGTGGCACGTATCCTTCACGAGACGGTATTTCGAGCCGATTGTGTCACCAAAGAGTCTCAAGGGATCGGGTGCCATTTGTCTTTAACAAGTGTGTTCTCTGTGTTTTCAGCCCGCAAAAGGATTTGCTAGCTCGTTCCACGTAGACCTGTCGGAGACGGCGTGAATTTCTGTGCTAAAACCACCAACGCTGATGCTGGAGACAGCAACATAAAACTACACAAACAGTAACCTGGACAAAAGCAACCTTGGTTAAGCTTCATTATCTTGGGCGGCGAACTGTAACAAAGCCTTGGCAGTGGTCGCCGGGGGAGAAGAGGAGAACTAAATACTGAGTAGCTGTAAACCTCAAGATATTTTGAGGAGCAATCCAAGGCCTTATTCCTCTCAGCAGGACTGAGACCGGGGCCGAAACTCTCAACATGTGAAATTATTAAGTCATCAGCAGACAGATTAGAGGAACTGAAATGGACATAGGAATACAAAACCTGAAGAAGAGGGACCCATTAGCCCACAGAGGTGGGGTTTTTTTTGGACTGAGGAGTTAGCCTCTAGAGATCTGTGTGTGCCTGTTTACATGACGAAGAAAAATAATGTTTCTGTACAAACTTCAACCAATGTCAAACGGAGCCCTTTAGCTATTTCTATGGTCACCACTAAGCCAACTGTACAGAGACTGTGTGGAGTAAAAAAATTGAGAGGAAGTGAGAAACTGAGCAGAAGGTTAGACATAGAGTGAGAGAGATCAGGTGTTGTACAGGTATAAAACACGGGGAAATAAAAAAGAAGGAAAAGGGGACGAGCAGAGATGATGTGCAGTACTATACATTCTGTATCTCCGGTTTTTTGACTTGACTGTCTTTATATAACTTCTCTTTTTTTGTTTCTGTTGTTCTTTCTGTGTGGTTAAAGTGTGCAGACTAAAGTATTCCAACGTACTGTTACAGACAGGAACATGCTGTCAGGAGCCGGGTTCAGTCCTCTTTCAAGTTTAGCCACTTCAGGAAGGAGATTTGAACACTGCGTCGAACAAAAGGAGAGAAAAACAATCCACATGTTCAGTTTATCAATAAAATATCACAAATGAATGTTCTCATGTCTAAACTAGTGACTAACAGTTCCTTCCTGAGCTGACTGCAGAGAAAGTGAAATGACCCTTTACCAGGATATGGTTCCCTTGATGCCATTGGCCTATACATAAACAATCAGACACACTCTGGTTTTTAATCATGTGTGCAAAGTGTTTACTGTGCTATTTTAAAAAGCTTATAAATGAATATAAATCTATATATAACTATATATATATATATACAATATACTTTTTTCTGAAAACTGTGTAAACATTGGTTAGTTTCTATACCTCATACTGTCATTCAATCTAATAATACCAAGTGCTACAAAATCAAGACATGTATGGATAAAATTGAGGAGGAGTTCCTCTGCCTAAATAAGCAAACTCCTTCGCACCAACCAAGGATTAAGTTGATGTTCTTTTTTGATGTTACTTTTCACCGTTGACAGATGCTGGGCCTTGTTGTGTGTAACAAAGACACCAGTTGAGTTGTTTTGGCTTGTTGTGTATTTTTACTAGCAGACTATGTGTTCATGTACAGGAACGGGGGGCTATCACAATCGAGCTAGATATCAAAGGTTTTACAATCATACAAGAGAGGCATACACGGATAAATATGGACATAATCAGACAATACATGGTGCAACGTATTGGACACACAAACATGCACACACACACACACACAGGTCAAATGGTGATTAATAAACAGTGTCATTGAAATTATCTAATGTGTGTTTTGTTGGGTTTCTTAAGAATATTAGCATGTATTGATCAGAACACCCTAAACTTAAATCCATGTGCTTAAGCCAAATACTAATGTTAGCATGCAAACAAGCTCACAAGGATGTTGCTAACAGGTTATTACAAAGCAGGTGTTATTGTTTAGAATGCTAACATTTGATAATCAGCACTAAACACCAAGTTCAGCTGAGGCTGATGTTAGTTCTGCGGCTATTTGGTCATAAACCAAAGTATTCAATATATTACAAATGTCACCATGATAGTGACGCTAGATGAAAGTCAGATATAAACAACATGAATGGTTGAACCAAATGTCATGGGAATCTATCCAATGGCTAAGACCTTAAAAAGCAAAAATAAAGCTATTAAAGTTATTCTCAAACCAAGAAAGGCTGAAGAAATGTAAAAGGTTGGGCATTGTTTGATGCTAGTGATAGAGGAAAAGTTGGGGGATGACCAAATCTATTATGATATATCCTCTCTGGACCAAAAGGTTTTCACCAATTTCCATAGCAATATATTCTGTATTTGTCTTTAGAAGCTACAAAAAAGTCTACTACCTACTATTAGTTAATAAGGTGATCACCAAGGTCAGTATGATTAATCCTCTGGGGACAATGCATATCCAAAAATGTACAAACTTTGATGATAATTCATGTTATAAATAGTGTTGCCATTCCAAAAGTGTGGTTCATAATAATGTTGTAAACTTGGATTGAAGCAGTTTATTTATTACAGACAAAGGAACCATTTGTTCATTCAAAGCAAGAAGCAACGTAGTGCTTAAAATCCTCATGGAGCACATCCACTGATTTCCCTGTTGTTTTTAGCACATACATTTGCATGAAAAGACATTTAATTAGTTATCCCAAAAGAATCTCATGGACTGTCAAGATGTAATCACTATGGTTTTGTTCTACTTTTCTCATTCCCTGACCTCATTAGCTCATGAAAAAAACTTTTCTGGTGCCTGTCACTTGAGCCTTCGGTCCATTTTCTTCAAAAATCACCATCCCCCTACATCCCAATCCTACCCCTTCACTCCAGTGTGATCTTTACATGGCCTGGCACTAGTTTACAGAAACAAGACGAAGAAGAAGCACGCTGGAGTCTGAATCTACTGCTGCAAAAGCCTTGGGGTCATCAGGGGGATTCAACAGTCCCTCACTTGACAGCCTAGAAACAGATATGATCTGTTTGTATCCATCACAAGATAGCCTTCTTTTTTAGGAGCGGGGATACATGGGACCAGGGCATGTGACTGATGCAATGTGTGCCTTCTTGAATTAGAGGCCTTTGGGGTCCTGATTAAAATATTACAGAGGAAAAACCCAGCATATGTTTATGACTGGAAAATGGGCGGATAAGAAAAATGAAGAACAGGGTCATAGTTTGGTTATTGTATAGGAATACGGGGTAATAGGGTGTACATATCGTCGTACCAGCATGGTCATACTGTGGTATTCAAATATGTATTCACAGTTATTACTCCAATAAGGCCATACTCAATGACCAGCATTATATTGATAGAATTAGCCCGATAACCCATATATTGTAAACGGGATATCCCATTAGATCTTCGATCCCATCTGATTGCCAGTTCTCAACATGTTCCATTATGACACTCTCTTAATACCCTTTTAACATTAATTGAGAAGTCTTGAAAAATGTTCTACATCAACATCAACACCTTAAATCCTCAAGAAAACCCCTTGGGGTATTCAAGGGGGGATGATAGGGATTATTTCAGAAGGCATTCAAAGTGTTGTTTGTGCATAAGAATGTTTTTTGGGAAGAAATAGAAAAAGAGTGTGAAGAGTTCAATCTTTGCCTTGGCCTGGGTCATTTGGAAACTTGGTGTATTGCTTTGAGCATGTTGGATCGTCGTTTTCGGAGTGTTACATACATTCTGAACTACTCAATTAACATATTTTCCAATATTTCCTTATAGAGATACGTGAAATAACCACATCATAACTTTATTGTTCTTCTCCCGTTACACTGTTATCAGCTTGATACCTCAAGAGCTGTGATGTATTGCTCCCCATGGCTACCTTTCCCAATTGTATTAAATGGGTTCTCGCAGTCATACTTGAGGAATAGAGTCCAACATAATATTAACACTTTTGGTATTAGAACATAAAGATATTAGACATATAACATGTTCTTTACTGATAAACTACAAATATGTGGTCCGAAATTAGAAATGTTTCCCGATCTACATGTAGCTGAGTAAAATATTGGTCCACATGGTCAGAAAACAAGTTGCAGTCAGCCCAAGCATTCAATGTCAACTTTACATAATTAATAGTTAACAATGCAACAGACCCATGTATGGAACACTTTATAGAACAATACAACATTGGAAACTCAAGGTTGACTTCCCAGTTTCATTTGGAGTGAGATGAAGTTAGGACCAAGGGATTTAGTTAACAATCAAGGCCAACAGCTTGAAATTTTACAATTTGGAGCTTTTATACTGAGCTCAAGTGCCACTGAGACAGATAGAAAGAAAGTCAAGGCAAACAGGTTGGCTTGGAAGTACAGGCCGCATGACCTACAGGTGAAGACTGACATTATATCAATGGCAGTGAGTTGACCTGATCTGTTTGTCCTCCAAGGCGCCTCTATGGCAGACAGAGTAGAATAACAGTCATTGCAACTGAATCATCTTGTCCATCTCTCCTTTTCTCTCCATACGAGGTTGAGTGAGGTGACCTAGCTGTCTGTCTGAGCCTCCAAGCCTGTCCCTCATATTCTTCCCCTGGCAGACGCACTTCATTACTCTGGCTAAATAGACTTTCAAGAGACCCCATCAGCCATCATTTACACAGCCCGGCCCTATCACCTTTCACCACGTCCACTACACACCGCCTGCACTACACGACACGCCCATGCAGACACACACCTACCAACTGGACCCACTGTTATCCCTCGCCACCCCATCAGTCAACACACACACACACACACACACACACACACACACACACACACACACACACACACACACACACACACACACACACACACACACACACACACACACACACACACACACACACACACACACACACACACACACACACACACACACACACACACACACACACACACACACACACATACACACACAGGAATCTTTGGGCTCTATTCCCCAGCCACCTCATCAAGCCAGAGCAGACAGCTATTACAGTCCGCGCTCCAATGCCCATTTCTCCTCCCATCTCTTCCCTTATCTGCCGGCCTGCTACTTCTGCAACAACCTATTGACCTGAGACGTAGCCTCGCCGCCC